GATGTTGACGCCACAAAATCACCAAACGGTGTCGGTTTAGCACGAAACTTGGCACACACGACCGTCTAGGCATGAGAGACCTGTGGGAGAAGACGGGACTCCAATCGGGTTCTCGATTTGGGAGTTAGAGCCAGATTTCTGTCTAGCCAAATTATTTACTTAATTATCTTTGTAATTATATAGTAGTTAATTTTTTATGTTTTTTTGTAATTAAAATATTAAAACAAAATTATATTGTCATTAATTATTTTTATTTTTTGTTTTCAGATATTTCCTGAGTAGCAGTTTGCTTTTGTAGAATACAGGGGTTTGAAGATTGCGATTTACTTTTGTTTTTGTTACCCACAGAAGAATCATGAGGGAAACTTTTGTTTTGATTTACGTTATTTTGAATTGTGAATAACATTATATATTTAAACATTGTGTATGGATTATGCAATATTATGTAGTGGATTAATTTTGCTAATGTGTTGTAATGAATGAATGCAAGGAAATTTTTATTATGGATGAATTGTTATTTTTATACTGAAATTTTTATATTATTATGTAATTATTGATTTCTTTTTCAATTATTTGTCATTTAATACAGGTAATTTTCATATTTCTAATAATTTTATTGCAATTTTTTTTTTAGACGGCAGCACATTACCGTCGCAAATAACATTGGTAGAATTGAGGTAACTCCTTTTGCGACAATAACCTTAGCCGTCACAAATACTCTTTTAGCGACAGGCATCGTGTTGTCTCAAATATTTTTTTGGCAACGGCAGATATCCCGTCGAAAAAAATTCTTTAGAGACGGCTTTTTTACCGTCGCAAATAACATCTTTAGCGACGGCAAAATAGTGTCGTCTAAAAAAATCTCAGATTTTTCATATTAATAGCGACGGAAAAATACTGTCGCAAAAAAGGCAACTTACCATCGCAAAAAAAAAAGCGACGGCAACGTGCCATCGCTAAAACCTTTTTTGCGACCCCCTTTGTTACGACCCCCCACTTGCCGTCGCTAAAAGTCATCTGCCGTCGCAAAAAAACTTTTGAGACGGCATTTTGAGTATTTGCGACAACATTTTGTCGTCACAAAAAATCAATCTTTTTTGTAGTGGGTGCCGATCCCGCGGACGAAATTTTCGTAAAATGGCAGATTGAAGTGTTTGTGCGTTAATGATGTAATTGTAGAACCATTGAGTTGTAGTCTCCTTTGGGTTATTGAAAAATAATAGAATTGGCTCATGTATTGAAAGGAAGTGAAATAGAATATAGACTTGGTGTTCTATGACTATATAAAATGAGAATATTTTATCCCTGGCATTGTATATGCACATTGCGCTTATATCTTTGTTAAACCTCATATACTGTGTTAGATTATTCCTACTGGGCTATAGCTCACCCTATTTGAGAAAAACATTTTCAAGTAATGATGGCATGCCTCCACCAACACAATAGCATTGGAGGGACTTATGGGGAAGCAAGAGCTTCTTCCTTTTGTTTCATTTTTGTATAGCCTAGGGCTTAAATTGTATGAACTAACCTCATTTTTGTTGTAACTAAGCCAAAACTTGGAAAGGTGTAAGCTTATAAGGCATTTATTTATGTTAAACTATAAACTCTATGAAATGAAAATATGTTAACACTCTGATTCATGTGGTTATTTAATTATATTTCGGTTGAATATATGGTTATATTTTGGTGGCGTTACATCTTCATACATGTCCCTAATCACATCAATGTAACCTTTTGTCACTCCTTTCTTCTCAAACACACACCATAGGCACTCGATCATATGCTTTCTCAAGGTTGATAAACATCATACGAATGTTTTTTTTCTTTTCTTTATGTTTTTTTATTACTCTCCTCGAAAGATAAATCGCTTCCATTGTTGACCTGCCAGGCATAAACCCAAATTGATTCTCTGACACTTATGTTATATCTCGCAATCGGCGTTCCATCACCCTCTCCCACACTTTCATTATGTGACACATTAGTTTCATTCTTCTATAGTTATTGTAATTCTAGACTTCTCCTTTATTCTTATACATTGGCACTCAAATACTCTTCCTCCACTCATCTGGCATATTCCTACTCAACAAAATTTTGCTAAACAACCTAGTCAATCAAACAACCCCCTTTTTACCCAAATACTTCCAAATTTCAATAGAGATATCATCGAGTCCTAAAACCTTATTGGATTTCATCTTCTTAAATACAATCTTCACTTCAAAGTTCCTAATCCTGCGATAAAATCTATAGTCTTGGTTTATCGTATTACTGACTATTTATTCCCCTATTATCGTACCTCTACGTTCCTTATTTAATAGTTTCTCAAAATAGTTATTCCATCTTTCCTTAATCTCTTCATCATTTACCAATACCTTAGAATTCTCACTATTGATGCACTTAACTTGATTAAAATCTCTTGTTTTCCTCTCCCGTATCTTAACTCGTTTGTATACCATCTTCTCTCCCCCTTACTATCTAATCTAGTGTATAAGTCATCATAAGCTTTCAACTTAGACTCTCTCATCACTTTTTTAACTTCCTTATTAGCCAATCTATAGTTCTTAAGATTTTCCTCAATTATATCCTTCTGCCACTTTTTAAAACTCTTTTTTTGCCTTAACTACCGCTTGAACCTCTTCCCTCCACCACCAAGTTTCCCTAAAGCTGGATCCCGTTCCTTTCGACTCTCCAAGCACTTCCCTTGAGATTCTCCTCATACAATTGGCCATCGAATTTGGGTCCCATCCCTTTCGACTCTCCAAGCACTTCCTTTGAGATTCTCCTCATACAATTGGCCATCGAATTCCACATAGTGTTAGCATCATCTTCCAAGTCCGAAGTACCTTCCTTACCCATTCTATTCTTAAATATTTCTAATTTATACCCTTTTAGGTTTCACCATCTCGTCCTACGATGCCCACCATCCTTCTTAGCTTGGCATTTCCCTCTAAAACATAAATCTAATACCAAAATCTTATGTTGAGAGGCTAGGCTCTCTCCAGGAATCACCTTACAATCATTGCATTTTAGACGGTCCACTTTTCTCACTAAGAAGTAATCTATTTGGCTCTTAACTGACTCGCTCTTAAAGGTTATCAAATACTTCTCCCTCTTCTTATACATAGTATTGGCCACCACCAAGTCAGAAGCCAACACAAAATCTAATATACTCTCTTCAACCTCATTTCTGTCACCAAAACTGTATCCACCATGCACCCTTTCATAGCCTAGTTTATCTATGCCTACATGGCCATTAAAATCTCCACCTATAACCACGGGTTATCTCATATAAGATCTCATCCATTTGCTCCCAAAAATCCCTCTTAGTCTGGTCATCTAATCCTACTTGAGGGGCGTATGCACTAGTAACGTTCATTATATTCCCTCCAATAACTAGTGTAACTAACATAATCCTATCTCCTTTAATGACCACCACTACATTCTCCACAAGACCCGTGACAATTATGATTCATACCTCATTCATGCGTCTATCCTTACCACTATAATATAGTTTAAAACCGGTATCCTCAATTTCCCTAGCTTTCTCACCCGTCCACTTAATTTCTTGTACGCAAGCTATACTAACTCTCCTCCTAATTATAATATCTACCAATTCCATCTTCTTACCAGTTAAGGTTCTTATATTCCAAGTGGCTACCCTAAACCTGTAGTCTTGGACTAACTTCTTTACCCGCGATCGTCTAGAAAAACGCGGGAACCTTTGCCTATTTTCCACCGCACCCAGGTGTCGATGCAGCACCCCTTGCTTACTTTTCGAAACACCCGGAGGCAAGCGCAATGCGTCACTTGAAGAGAACAAGCTAGCATTTAAATGATTCAAAGTAAGATTCATTGTCATAAGGGATCCGAGCGGCATTTTTACGTGTTGGCTGTCGGCTCTAACACACAACCCTTCTCCTTAACCCGGACTTGGGACCGATGGAATTGTTAACAACCCCGACAAAGTTTGCATACTCGAATATATATGAAATAAAAATTTTGAAAACTCGAATGCGTATCTTAGGCAACCAGCAAAAACAAGTGTGTTGAATCCCATGTATATATTGACATTAGCATTTTAGAACAACCAAGATGATGAAGAATCTTCTTTTGCTTAAAATATTTCTGAACTTTAGAATAAAACTATTATTAGTGCTATTGTTATTGTAGATTCATTGGGTGGTCATGTTTTCTTTTGTTACGCTGGCGTTTTTCTTATGAAAGTCATTTTATCCCTCAACCTGTCTTCATCATGATATATTTTTTGATCTAATATTCCTTCATTATATATTAAATTACAATCTGTTGTAATGATTTGTGTGCTAAAGTCTGATTTATTAATGCACACAGATTGCCCACAAGCCTAGCATATATGTTTTGGACACGCCCGGAGTATTGGAAAGTATCCCAGACATTGAAACAGGGTTAAAGCTAGCTTTGGCTGGTATAAACTCTTTTGATGTTTGTATTCTCTAGAGTTGATTATAAATTTCATTTACTTTTTAAATCTATTGCATTGCTGCTTTTGCAATTACCAATTGTAAGTTGTTAGTCTTGTCAGGAGTCACTAATTTATGGCTTTATTGATTCAGAGTCTTGTTAGGTATCTACAATAGGTAGATTGGCTTTACTAATTTATGGCTTTATAGAATTTAATTATCAACAATATGACATCTAACTATGTACTTAATCAAGCACTTGCATAATCCTCATTGGCAAAGCATTTCTGATGTAGGACATGACTTTGAAGAGTTAAAGTTACATATTTTATTTTTTGTTATCTTGAAAGTAGATCTAATCAACCACTCCAAAGTTTATTTGCAACAACTTGCATGCACTTTTAGTTGTGGTGAACTATGCAAGTCTCAGCTCGTTTAATTATTAACTTTGGACTATTTTAAAAAAAAAATATAGTTACCTATTTGAAATCAGATTTATGAACAGCCACAAATGCATTAAAAAAGGAAAAAAAAAAAAAAAAAAAAAAGACTTGGCAATACCTTCATTCTAGCATAAGCAGATCCAATTCGACTAGCTCCAATCACGCCAACAGTCTGTCCTTTAAGAAACTTCCCGACAAATCTATAAAAGAATACAAGCCAATTCATGTAAATTTTCTTGCGAGGAACACACGAAACTAAAAAAATGCCCTACATTCTAGTCACTAAAAAAATGACCAGATATAAAGCCATCCCTTTGATGTGTTAGATATAAATTGACATCACACAGCAACAATAGCAATTTTCTAGTACTTAATTCATGCTCTATAAAGGCATATTTCCAACATTAAATATTGAGTCCGGGTACATGTTCAAGTGCCAAAACCTTCATGAACCTAAATTTTAGGATACTAGGATATGTATCCAAAAGTTTCATAAGGATATGAAGTCGGAGACGCTTCATGAATACATATATATATATATATATATATCATATTATATAATATTCTCAAATAAAATGTTGTAGATTATGTAAACTGTACTTGAAATTAAATAGGAGTTAGAAAAAATACGTAAAAGCTTTCCACTTCAGTGTTGATTCAACCACAAATAATAATCAACATTATAACATTCTATACAGCCTTTTGTTGATCATGTTTCTGTACATAAATAATGACTCAGTACTGAAATTTGTCCAACAGATTAACAAGACGTAGAATTTGACGAGGATATTAGATATGCATGTGAATTTGGTGAGGACATTACATATATATGTGAATTGTGATAAGAACAACACTTCTTAATTGAAGGGGGTTGAATTCAGCGATTTCTGAGCTACAATCTGACGAGGTTATTAGATATGCATGTGAATTTGGTGAGGATATTACATATATATGTGAATTGTGATAAGAACAACACTTCTTAATTGAAGGGGGTTGAATTCAGTGATTTCTGAGCTACAATCGCATTTTCATTTGTTACCATTTAAACCAGACAAGAACAAGAATGATTTATGGGATACCAACACTACAGGAAATTACACTTTTGGCAACCAAATTTGGCGACTAAAAAAAATTTAATTGCCAAAAGTTGTGTAATTTGGCGATCAAAATTTATATTAGTCGGCAAAAGTACAAGATTTAGCTACTAATTTTTTTTAGTCGGGGTACATTGATTATTGGCGACTAAAAAAAATTTAGTCGCTAAAAATGCCACAATTGGTGACTAAAAAAATTTTTAGTTGCTGTAAAATTAGTTTTGGCTACTAAAATTATTTAGTCACCGAATGAAAAATAAAAATTTATTTTTTTATCTTTGGCGACCAAACTTTGGTCGCCAAAAATTTATTTTAGTCGCTGTATAGTTAGTTTTGGCTACTAAAATTATTTAGTCACCAAATGAAAAACACAGATTTACTTCCCTTTTTTTTTTGCTACTAAAAGTTTGGTCGCCAAAAAATTATTTTCAACGACTAAATAAATTTTAGTTGCTGTATAGTTAGTTTTGACTACTAAAATCATTTAGTCGCGGAATGAAAAACATAAATTTACTTTTTATTTTTGGCGACCAAACATTTGGTCGCCAAAAACTTATTTTCAGCGACTAAAGGTCTGGTCGCCAAAAATTTATTTTCAGCGACTAAATAAATTTCAGTCGTCATATACTAACTTTTGCCGACTAAAAGAAATTTAGTCACCGAATACCTAGTATAATTTTATTTTTAATCTTTGGTGACTACCTCATTTGGATACATTTGTGGTGACCAAAACACATTCAATCGGTATTTTAAATAATGATAGTAAGAATAATTGGGTGTAACAAGTCTGAATATGAAATTGACCAAGAATTTGAGTGAATTGGTTTAAGTGAATTGGTAAGAACATGCCCATAACTGGATCTTTGCTACTTTTATCCAAGAACATGCCCATTTAAATCGTGGAAAACCTTGTTTGGTTGTGGACTTTTTAGGTTGTATTAGAGAGCTTGAGAATAGCAAGCAAGCATTATATAAATCTGTCACATTCAGAGATGCAGTAGCTGAAGTAGAATACAAGATTTATATCTTTCTTAAAGCAAGATATAAATCTTGTATCCAAGAGCTTGAGAATAATTCTTTAATGCTCCATGAACATTGATGAATGGTATCTCTGCATTTCCTGAGTTTGTTTGGGTTTTTAATACTCATTTCTGTAGCTCTTGTCAAAAAGTATCTTGTCATTCCTAGTTTCTTTTTTTTGTTGTGGTACAGATTTATATCTTTCTTAAAGCAATGGAAATTCTTCACTACCAATGAATGCAACTGCTTTTAAACTAAGATCTTCACTTTTTCTCACTCAATTCAAATTACTACCTTCTTTTTTGGCTAATAAAGCTTGAAACTTTTGAAAATAAGAGACAGACCAAAGAGTGCTGACTTGAATGAACACATACCTGTTATCAGAACACATCCACACAAATCAAGGGCTCTAAGATCGGGGGATCCATATGCTAAACTCATTACCCCCACATCACCAACATTCTCACACCATCCCAGATTCAAGGACTGCAACTGACGACAGTTGTGTCCAATAGTCTGCACATGATAGCTTAGTAAAGTGAGAAAATAAAACTCTACCGATCGTAAATGAGTAATAACAAGCTCTAACTCTTTCTTACCTTCAACGCCTTGTCAGATGCAGCTTTCGCACATCCACAAAGATTTAAGTACTTCAATTTTCTGCAAACAGAGCCAAATATGAAAGACCCATATCGCTGAAGGCAGTACACCCACTGATGTTAAGTTTTATAAGATTTGGACACCCATGAGCCAAAGCAAACAGAGAGCGATCATTAAGCTTGAAGCCCTTGCTGAGGTCCAAGAGATAGAACCAAGTTGTTCATGTTGTTCTTGCACCTAAAGAAAAACTTTGACTGTTAGTGAGAGATCATCTAGCGGACACAGGATAATGTCAGATAAGACATAGTTATCAAGTAACATGGAAAAACAAAAAAAAAAAAAAATGGTGCATGAAACAGTAGACATACTCACGAACTACCTAAAATTAAACAAAACAACCTTCTGTTTGATCCTATATATTATGTCTTATTGTTCATATTGGACTATCAATTTCTCGCGCTATTGAAGTGGATGTACCTCCAGTGCTCTGTGAACTGAATCTAAACACCAATCTAGAGCATGTATTGGATGTTGTCCAATACGCTGGAGACAGATAGAGATAGACAGGTTTCTCCGCAAAAGGAAGACATATAATGATCATTCTCATCATTTTATAAGCCAAATCATGCAAAACACTCAAACAATGGACTAATTGTTAAGAAGTATTAATGTCAAGAGACCAGTGTTTGCACCATCCTCACAGAAAAACAAAATGGATGCTAAATTACACTGTCGAGGACAATAATAATTGTGAAAGAGCCACGTGAACATATTTTTATTCAAATTCAAGACAGTTACTGGGGAATTTACAATTCAAAATGACATAACCATTATAGACCGTTGATTTTGGATATACGTTGCAACCTTGTGGATTTCCATTACAACCATTTAATGAAGAGGAACCAAATCCTAACCAGTAACATAAGAAAAAAGTTATGCACATGTTTTATTTTTAACAACATCATCAACAACCAAAAACCTAAAATCTATCATGTCCAGCGTAGTTGATTGCAAAGAATAAAGATAACACAAAACATAACACAATTTACAATTATACCCAGAGAATATATTCTCATCTTGATAAAGGCAATCAAAATAACAAGTAAACCAAGGAACACACCAAGACCAAATCAAACAAAACAAATAAATGGAATATGATGCTTGGCCCACAGAAAAGTTACTAAATCACAATTGCATAGACACAAACAATTTTTTGCAGCACTGACATCATACTTAGTGGCAGCATTGACATCAACATTGTTGTATCCAACAGGCATTTTACTGAAAGCCTTTCCACCTTCTCTGCTCGATGCAGAGAACAATGTCATGGGTGGCTACTATTTTTTGCAACTGATATATAACATTCCCTCAAAGATTAGTCTTTCAAACTGAAATTGGATGCATTCTATTGTTTAACATGAGTATGATTTTGGGCCTCATTCAACTTTTACTATCAAAATTCTATTGTTTAACATGTGAGCATTGTCCAGTTTCGTTTGAACATGCCGTCAAGCACGTGGCGAGCAAAAGGGGCCGAAGACAACAACAAATACAAGTATGTACGAATTTCATTTGAACATTTTTTCAGGCACATGGTGAGCAAGAGGGTGAAAAACAACGACAATTACAAGCATAGACCAAACAACAGTCATACATACACTGCCATCACATCACCAAAAAAAAAAAAAAAAACACACACACACACACACAATAAATTTCATGAACTAGAGTGAAAAATAAAAATCTTCATTTTGGCAAAAAACAAACCCTAAGAAATGACATGTTCCTTCAATCATTTTATAGAAACCCATTTCAATCATTGGTTCATTGATTTCACATAAATCAAAACCCTACGCCATAAAAAACAAACCATAGATGTAGAGTGAAATGGGGAAATAGAGAAAGAGAGACAAAGAAACAGAGCCGAGAGGGAGAGAGATAGAGAGAGGAAGAGAAATAGAGAGAGGACGATGAAAACCTCAATGTCAAAGCGATGCAATGCGAGGAGCTAGGAGGCGAGCGACGACGGTGACGGTGGCGGTGGCGGTGGCGGTGGCGGTGGCGGTGTGCGACGGTGGAAGATCGATGGTGAACGATGGTGGAAGATCGACGGTGAGCGATGGGGGGTAAAGTGACGGTGAGTCGGTCCATGAGAGAGAAGGAGAGCAAGAGTCAAGAGACTGGTTTTGTTTGGGTGGATTGATAAAAACAAATATGAAAATAAAATAAAATAATAAAAATAATAATAATAAATCAATTGCCTCTAAATTTGAAAAACTTTCTTCCCAAAAAATTTGTTATCAATGCCGACTAAACAAAATTTTAGTAGCCAATTGTAGCATTTTTGGTGACCGAAGATATTTTGGTCACCAAAAAAAAATATTTAGTGACTAAATTAATTGTAGTCGCTGAAATTATTTTTTGGCTACCAAACTTGTGTTCGCAAAAGATAAAAAGTAATTTTTTTTTTCATTCGGCGACTAAATAATTTTAGTAACCAAAACTAAATATACAACGACTAAAATTTTTTGTAGTCGCTGAAAATAATTTTTTGGCTACCAAACTTGCGATTGGCAAAAATAAAAAAATAATTTTTTGTTTTTCATTCAGCGACTAAATAATTTTAATAGCCAAAAGTAACTAGAAAGCAACTAAAATTTTTTGTAGTCGCTGAAAATAATTTTTTGGGCACCAAACTTGTGGTCACTAAAGATAAAAAGTAAATTTTTATTTTTCATTCGGCGACTAAATAATTTTAGTAGCCAAAAGTAACTATACAGTGACAAAAATAATTTTTAGTCACTGAAAATAATTTTTTGGCTACCAAACTTGTGGTCGCCAAAAATAAAAAATAAAATTTTGTTTTTCATTGGTGACTAAATAATTTTAGTAGCCAAAAATACCTATCCAGTGACTAAAATTTTTTTGTCACTAAAAATAATTTGTTGGCTACCAAACTTGTGGTCGCCAAAGATAAAAAATAAATTTTTGTTTTTCATTCGACGACTAAATAATTTTAGTAGACAAACGTAACTATACAACGACTAAATTTTTTTTTAATCACTGAAAATAATTTTTTGGCTACCAAACTCTTGGTTGCCAAAGATAAAAAGTAATTTTTTGTTTTCCATTCGACGATTAAGTAATTTTAGTAGCCAAAAGTAACTATACAGAAACTAAAATAATTTTTAGTCATTGAAAACAATTTTTTGGCTACTGTACGGACATAAAAAAAAATCGTATTTGATGATAAAGAAATCCAATAAAGAAGATGATCAGCACCACCACACGATCGTTATCTGCAAGACAAAATACCCCCAACCGTAGCCGAGGGCCCTCCGACGCCTAAGTCAGTCCTCAAATATTATCAAAATATTTAATGGACTAGTTCATAGAAAGAAATTGCATACCTCAACCCATGAGGGTGTTGCCTATTTATAATATCCGGTGACTAACTTACCAAGCAATTTGAATGTTCCAGAAGTCATATCCCAAACAATCTTTGGTTGTGAAGGACTTCTATATCGATAAGATTTCATATCCTGATGAGTTTTGCACAACATAAAACACAAATGCAATGTTTGATAAGAATCTGATAACTGCCATACACATGATAATTTATAATTACGCCACGTGGAAATGTCGGGACCCACATAATTCCTGTAGTTATTTTCATTCCCTCTCAATTGCCCTCAAGCTTTCATTCTCTTTGAACCCAGTGAAAGAGTTGAAGCTTTCTGTTGTTCTAACAAAAATAGCCATGTAATAATGCCTAGCTAAAACCATACATGGGTGCTAGGGCTTATTCCAAAATGCATAACTTTATTGGGACTTATTCCGAAAATACCTAGCCTTGTTGAAACTTATTCCAAGAATGCCTAATCTCGTTAGGACTTATTCTGAAAATGCCTAGCCTTGCTAGGACTTATTCCAAGAATGCCTAACCTTGTTAGGACTTATTCTGAAAATGCCTTGTTAGGACTTATTCTAAGAATACATAACCTCGTTAGGACTTATTTCAAGAATGCCTAATCTTGTTAGGAACTACCAAAACACCAACTTGCTTATTGGTAAGCAAAACCTGCTAGGCAATGAATCCCACTGTTGGACAAAACAACCAACCTACTCTGTAAAAAATTTCAAAGTTGGTCAAACCTGCCAACCCACTTTGCCGAGCAAAACCCACTCGACAAAGATTTTCCAAGTTGGTCAAACCTGCCAACCTACTCTGCCAAGCAAAACTCGCTTGACAAAGATTTTTCAGGTTGTTCAAACCTGCCAACCTACTTTGTTCGACAAAGATTTTCAAAATCGGTCAAACCTGCCAATCTACTTCACCAAGCAAAACCCACTCGATAAAGATTTTTTAAGTTGATCAAACATGCCAACCTACTTTGCTCGACAAAGATTTTTAAAATTGGTCAAACCTGCCAATCCACTTCACCAAGCAAAACCCACTTGACAAAGATTTTTCAAGTTGGTCAAACCTGCCAACCTCCTTTGTTCGACAAAGATTTTCAAAATTGGTCAAACCTGCCAATCTATTTCACCGAGCAAAACCCGCTTGATAAAGATTTTTTAAGTTGGTCAAACCTACCAACCTACTTTGTTCAACAAAGATTTTCAAAATTGGTCAAACCTGCCAATCTACTTGACCAAGCAAAACCCGCTCGATAAAGATTTTTCAAGTTGGTCAAACTTGCCAACCTACTTTGTTCGACAAAGATTTTTAAAATTGGTCAAACCTGCCAATCTACTTCACCAAGCAAAACCCACTCGATAAAGATTTTCAAAATTGGTCAAACCTGCCAATCTACTTCACCGAGCAAAACTCACTCAATAAAGATTTTTCCAGTTGGTCAAACCTGCCAACCTACTTTGTTTGACAAAGATTTTCAAAATTGGTCAAATCTACCAATCTACTTCACCGAGCAAAACCCACTCGATAAAGATTTTTCAAGTTGGTCAAACTTGCCAACTTATCTCTTGCCCAAACCAGTTTGGCAAAGAGATAAAATTTGTAACCAAAGGGTAGCGTAATTCATATTGCCCCTATGATCCATAAAGCGCGAACTCCATCTCAGCATATTTGACCCAAAATAATAGTCTTCATCCATGTTTGGTATAAAAACTCATATTTTTCAGATAATAAAAATCTGATATAATTATTTGATCTTCCATGTATTTGTGGTTGGAATAATAATGCATAAACTCCGTGCTCCATAGATAATCAAAATTTAGCACAATAAAACATCTTCATCCACAGAGTAATAATGCATAAAATCCGTACTCCACAAATAATAGAAATTCAATATAATATCTTGGCTAGGAAGCCACTGTCTTTTTGCAATGACTTATTTTTTGATTTATTTAACCATATCGTAACTCATTTATTTCTTTTTCCTCCATTGAGTTGTGTCAATCCTCTTATGTGTACGATTAACTTTACACCGTGCCCAGAAGCAACTCTAGAAAACAAAAATGAGTGTGTACGGACAAAATCTTGAAACTGGTTGCATGTGACTTTGCTAATGTTGCTTTTCGGCATATCCGCATACACACATTATACTTCTATATATATTGAAATAGAAAATCTTTGATAGAGCCTTATGAATGATGACCACTATAAAAAGTAGTGGCTTAAATCCTTGTAGATAAAGCATAGAACACTGCATTTGTTTTGTTGTTGATGAACTCCAACGTAAAAGTATATAATTGGTCAAAAACAACCAATATCATGAACAAAGCCCTCCAAGAAAGTTTATTGTGGTTTATTAATTATCTTTGTTAAATTTCATCATTTCCCACAGACGACGCCAATTGTACGGACATGAAAAAATACTGTATTTAATGGTAAAGAAATCCAATGAAGAAGATGATCAACACTACCACACGATCGTTATCTACAAGACAAAATACCCCCAGCAATAGCTGGGGGCCCTTCGACGCCCAAGGCAGTCCTTAAATATTATCAAAATATTATGGACTAATTCATAGAAAGAAATTGCGTACCTCAACCCATGAGGGTGTTTCCTATTTATAATATCCAGTGACTTACTTACCAAGTAGTTTGAATCTTCTAGAAGTTGTATCCCAAACAATCTCCGGTTGTGAAGGACTTCTATATTAATAAGATTTCATATCCTGATGAGTTTTGCATAACATAAAACACAAATGCAGTTTTTGGTAAGAATTTGATAACTGTCATACACATGATAATTTATAAATACGCCATGTGAAAATGTCGGGACCCACATAATTCCTGTAGTTATTTTTATTCCCTCTCATCTACCAAACTTGTGGTTGCGAAAGATAAAAAGTAAATTTTTGTTTTTCATTCGGTGACTAAATAATTTTAGTAGCCAAAAGTAATTATACAGCAACTAAAATTTTTTTGTCACTAAAAATAATTTGTTAGCTACCAAACTTTTGGTTGCCAAAGATAAAAAGTAAATTTTTGTTTTTCATTTGGCGACTAAATAACTTTAGTAGCCAAAAGTAACTATACAGCGACTAAAAATTTTTTTTGTCGTTAATTGTGGGATATTTAGCGACCAAAAATTTTTTTAGTCTCAGATTGTGGCATTTTTAGCAACTAAATTTTTTTTGGACGCCAATAATCGATATACCCCAACTAAAAAAAATTAGTAGCTAAATCTTGTACTTTTGCTGACTAATATAATTTTTGGTCGCCAATTCCACAACTTTTGGCGCCAAAAGTGTAATTTCCTGTAGTGCTTGCATATATGCATAATAAGATGTTGGCTTCCATTGTGCAATATTGGCTTTGATATGGAGATTTTAAGTTGCAATATTGTTGTTTATTGGCTTTTGGGCTCAACATTGATGAAAATGATAGTCAACAAAGACCCCAACTCATGGAGCTCTTAAAGAACACTCATATCTTTTATCATTCAACCACATGAGGTTATTTTAACAATACAAATATTGAATTTATTCATTAATTTTTCCTTCGAAAATCAGAAGCGTTAGAACAGCGAGAAGAACCAACCAAAACTAAGCACCCATCCATAAAATTACTATGGTGAGAACCAAGCTTGAAAATGAAATACCAAGTTGCCATTTTTGTTGCAATGCGTAGGAAGAGCGAAGGATGACATTGTCAATCACAGGGCCACAAAACACATTATCACTTGTTTGGCTCTCATTATAGCTTACAAAATTGATTGAAGTT